CTCATTTCATTGCCAAGTTCTGACGATGGCCAACAAAGTTTTCGATGAAGTCCAAGTCAGTAAATTCGCTTCATTATGCGAACGCAGGCTATTTTAAATATTTGTTCAAGCAATAAAAATGTTAATAAACTAAGCAAAAGATGCGGAAACTCAGCACGACATTGAGGAAATAGTAAAAAATAAAATATATTTAATAGATTTACCAAGGCACGAAATGCTATCAAAACGTTGCCAACCTCATCGGTCTTACTTGCCAAGACGCACGCCATCTAACAAACAAAATAACAAAAAGTACCACTAATTGTTTAATACAACTATATGCTGAAAGCACTGAAACTTAAAGCTATGCTTGTATTTTGATTTGCCAATAATAGAAAACCTGAAACAAAGAAAGTTTTTTACGCACTTTCTAAGTAAGTAGCTTATAGCCCAACATACTCGTACATACATACATACATACATACATAGGTCAGAAGGCGGCCTCTCGGCCAGTTAATGTCATCATACCAGCTGTCGTGAGGGAAACTCGTAAATTAGCTGAGCGATAATCAAACATCGTAAATCAGTTAAATTGTGCCCGCTGGACCGACCCAGCAGCACTTGCCGGTGAATATTCGTACATGCAAATAGCTGCTTCCTCTTGCCACAGCGACACATTCCATCTGCACCGCCGGCAATGCGATACACAGGTGTTGAGTTCACGCGCGCTGTCGCGAAATTCCTGATAAGATTTTTTTTGTTTTTTTTTTCACTTTAAAAACACGCCATCAGAATTTCTCCTATTGTTTTGCGTGCGTGGGCATTTCGAGGGGTCATCGCATAAACAACAGCTCTGCTTTTGCATTGAAATTAATTATTTCATAGCCTCTCTGTTTATGCTCGCGTACAAATGCGACATTTATGATTAGCATTTATTAGCATTTATTAGCATTTTAAGTGTGGTTCGGCTGCTCGTTAGGCGTTTGTGTGACTTAATTATTGTAATATTGTACTGTACAGAGAATACATAACTATGAGTAGAAGGATACATGTGCATGGGTGTGTGTATCAGGATTGTTGCAAATATTCGTATTCGCAACCGCGGAGCTTCCGCATTAGTTGTAACATTCGCTTTCGCTTCCGCATTCGCAATAATCAGTGCGGAGGTTTTGCGAATGCGAATGTTGTGCCAGTGCCCTGAAAACGTATATCTGGCAAATAAAATTATAAATTGTAGCCAATATTTTTGGCGCATATAGGAGTAGATATTTGTGTAGAAAAAAATGATCAAAAGTCAGATTTATCAACTTTGATAAAGGCGTCTTTAAACATTTTAATTTTCAAGCTATATGACCGAGCTATCAACGGGCAGGTTCGCACTCCTACTTGATCATTGACGTACGCCCAAGAGAACATAGTACATACTAATATTTTTTATTTTATTTTTTCTGTGCTTTATATACCTGCATTTGTTTCTTTCTTTACTATGATTTATCCAATCTTAAAAAGACATGAAAAAAGAAAGTCTCCACTATAATTTTAAACTACATTTCCGTGATTTTCTTTTGATGCTATATTCGTTTCAATCATTTCAAATGGAGCTTTTTGGGAAATTTATTTTTACCAAAAATTAAAAAAAAACAGTAATTTTGTTTACTTGTCGGGCCTTTTCGGCCAATATTTTTTCATAGGGATATACATTGTATCCTTGACTGTTCCGTGTTTTCTTTTACTACTTCGCAGAAAAACACACCTAAAATTTTTTAACGGATTTACTATGATGCTACATTCTTCAAGTGAACATGAAAGTCAGGAGGCTACATCCGACATTTTCAGCCCCGATGCAATTCTCAAAAAGGAATTATTCTTACATCGTAATAAAAAATAAATTTAACTGGGAGCTCTCTCAACTGGTGTAGCGTCAATCGAAAATAATTTAAAATATTTTCAAGTTTCACACGCAGATATTTGTCGCCTCGAGCGAGCAGTTTAAAAAACAGGCTGAAAAGGCAGCAGAATCATTTTTTTTTTAAATATAATGTTCCAATTTTTAAACTCAAGTACTAAATAAAATAAAAATTATTAAAATTACTAACTTTTCATTTCTTTATTTACCTAAATCACAATTTACTTACCTTAGTTAAGTATTTTATAAAAATACTTGCCATCCGCATTCGTATCTGCGCATGTCTAAAATCCACATTCGCAACATCCCTAGTGTGTATACACATACACATGTATATATGTATGTACTGTATGTATTTTTAAAAGTATATAAATCACTGCATAAGAGTATGCATGGGCTACAACTGCGTGCCTAACAACTTACTACTTCCGGCTGGGATAACCTTTATGAAACAAAAGCTTAGTAGCTGGATACTAAATAAAAACCTGTTTTTAAGATATTCAACCCTTGCGAATGAAATCAGAGTGAGTATTTCCCTCCTCCCTTTTTGAATAATTTTGCTACTACCTTGGGATATACATACCTGTACAACCCAGTTTTTGTAGAATTCTTGCCCATTGGCTTTAGCGACCGAAGTAAAATACTTGAGAATCAGGAAGAAGTAGGAATACTCTAAACAAACTGGAAATATAGACACGACTGGGTGGGTGCCAGAACATGAAGATAGTATACTGAATAAACGCTTTTTACAAAGCGGTTATATCGCTGGCATTGTGAAAACTCTGGTTTAGAACAAATTTCCTCGGGCGCAAAGAAATGAGCCTGCGCAAAGCTTACCGAGACTTGTGTTTGCAAGACTACGCTAAACTCCTATATCATCTTAAATAAAAAGACCTTAAAAAACATAAATATGTATGTATGTATCTGCATATGTAGGTTAAATATAAATTTGAAATTAATTTCAAGTAGACTTTCGGCGTAGAGCATAGGCATACTCTTTTTCCAATGAGATCGACCTTTTAAATATTTTTACCAAAGTTCTTTATATTTAATTTGAGATTCTGGCGCTTTAAGCAAAACACTGTCTGCTGCGTTTAGAAAAACACTGCCAATTTTGAAACGAATGCTATTGGCTTAAAACACTTAACATAATCCAAACAAACAAAACAATAAAAAATAGTCATAATTCATAAAAATAGAGAAAGTGCGCATGAGTGTAGACATATGTTCAGTGCCGGAAAGGAAATCATATTCCATAAATTCCGTAATACAAATGTCAAGCGACAGACTGCTCTCTAGCCATATTCGCTGCCCATTCGTAAGTGTGTTGGTGTGTGTGTGTGCGCTTTCTACTATGGCAATTGCAGACGTAGCCAATTTAATGCATATTTGCTGCCTTTATTCAAGCAGCAGGATCGATTGCTAAGCAGCAGGCAATTGTCAACCGAGACCAAACAGCCACAGCCATTTTTGCCATTCATGGTTATTCATAAATACATAAGCACATAAATGCAATACTAAAAGCCAAGTGCCGCCAAAAGCTATGCCAAGTGATAAAAATGAAATCAAATGAATTGCGAATTCAAGAGAAAGAAGATAGTTTGCGTTAGTACTGGTGTGTGTGTTGCAAGAGAAAGCTAACCTTAACAACTTGAACAATTGAAACTGAGACAAGTTTTGTTGGGTTTTTTTTTTTTTTTTTGGTTTTCTTCAGTTTTTGGCATTGTGTGACTGGTTGTAGAGGCAGCGCAGAGGCGCAGCAGGATATCAACTGTCTTAGTAGGCAACAGATAAATATTTAAATAAATATCTACGTACATATGTATGTATGTATATACTTATTTGTGTTAGATGCAAGTGCCATTGTCTTGAGCTTCTCTGTTGCCAAGAATTTCAAATATATTTCTTTGTCATTGCCAACCGTAAAACTTTAACGCTACAAAGACGCTGTCAGTTAGCAAATTTTAGATGTTGTGGAATAATAAAGGGAAATTTTTGCATTTTTACATATGTATGTACACTAGGGTGGTCCAAAAATGCAAGTGAAAAAGTAAAGTCGCAAATTTTATGCTCTCAGCCCCTAGGATTGTTCTATACCGAAACAAATATACCCTTTTTTATCGCAACTATAATTTATAGTTCCGTCAAAAAAATGGTTAAATCAACAGCTGGGTATTATTACTGAAAGTCTCCTGAAGAGAAACAGAGCTTTCCGATCGAAAAATATTGATTTTCAAGAATTCTATACCATTTCTACGAAAAAGTTTATTTTTCCCATATAAAAATACATGGAAAACTTTGAGCGCTTTGAGCGACCTGTAAATATTTTTTGATTTCAAAATAAAAAATAGTTTTTTCGGTATAGAAAATCCTAGGGGCTGATAGCATTACAATTCTGACTTTACTGTTTTTGGACCACGCTAATGTACACACACACATACATACATAAATACTTACATATGCGTACATACCCACCTAGCATTCGGAAGATTAATTTAATAAAAATCACCTTGCTGTGTCTGCTCCGATCAACTTTGATGATTGAAAACTGATAAATCGTTTTCGCCGTAAAAAAAACTCGAAAATGACTCACCTTACGCTTGAACTGATTTATTGAAAATATAAAAGCAAAATGTAGGGCAATCACAAATTTGAATTCACGGTGGCAACCCTCCTACATTTAGTTTAGAATTAGAGTTTCCACAACGGGGGTTTGAACTCGTTCTCTGTTATCGATATTAAATTAATATTTTTCCTTCTTGTTTGTTCTTGTCTATGTTTTATTACAAAGTAGACAGCATTTTTGGCCATTTCACCCACTCTATTCCTTTATTGCCTGAACCCAATAGATGTCGGCTAACAGACCTCGCATCGCATTCAGGGCGTCGAATAACATAGAGAAATTGAGGTTTGGTTCAATATGCAGAAACCTGTTTTTTCTGTAAACCTGTGTTATTGACGTGTAATTTGCTATTTAAGAATTTGTTTGTTAAATTTTTTTCCTTTTGTTATCTTCCAAATTAAAACCCTACTTACTTTGGTTTTACTATTTATTTTCTCCCAATTCCTATGGACTTTATATAGGTACACATATAACTTAGTTGAAATAACAATGTTATGCTCCGCTTCTACTCAAATTAGTATCCTCTGTATATCTTATGAGCCTTAGATCTTCGTCAATATTTACAAAATACGTAGGAATGTTACCACGCCCTTTTACATAAGTTTCACCTCTGTAAATGCAGTGAACTTGATAGGATTCTAAAATGCGCGCAGATTCCTCAGTGACTTGGATTGAGTCCGGTGTTCCGGTCGAGTCCATGCGAGAAGCCATATTCACAGCATTGCCCCATACGTCGTAAAATGGCTTATACAAACCAACCACACCAGCCATTACAGGACCGTTCGATATGCCTGTAAAAGATAAAATGTGTATAAAGTCAATTTCATTAGGCAAAACTAAGAATGCGCATCTCACCAATACGCAAGGCACCTATCCTACGGCTTTTCTCTTCGTTTTGTACTCGGCTCTCCATGTTAAAAGCTCTCATTGCGCGCAATAGATCCAAAGCGAAGCACATCATGACATAAACCACATCATTCTCAAAACTGAACTTGTCATTCATTTTAAAATCGCTACTGCGAAAGGAAGGCGAGCGGTCATCGTCCGACAAGAGAAAACTGCTTGCTGTAAAAAATTAAGCCAAAATCGATATCTCAATGAGAATAATTTCAGGATATGTATAAATTTGATTAAAACCTACCACTCTGATATTAATAAGGAAAAATTAACAAAACTCACGCAGATATTCCTTAGATTCTTGCGACCGCAACGCGTCTGGATTACTTGCACTCAGACCACATGCGGCCATATATGTCCAACCGGCCACTTTAATTTTTTCAATCTTATTGATACCCTGGTATGTGCCCAGCTGTAAAATATGAAAGTTTCTAGCTTCTTATAGTGAACGGTACATGTGTGTACTTGCGGCACGCTTACCACTCGGTCAAAATCACAAATGATGTCATTCAAAACACGCATTCCAACCTGTTCGGCATCGAAGTTCAGTATAGTTGCAAACATAATAGCAACATTGTCGTATTGTTCGTAGTACAGCTCATTTGTTAGTTGATCCTTCATGTAAATACTCACTATTAAATAATTGAATAAATCTGTAGCACAACAAAGGCTATGATGTGTTTTCATTCTCATGCTACTAACCTATATGAGATGGCAGAATATTACCAATTAATATTGAAATAGTTTTTTTAGTAAATTTGGCGTTGTCTTTCTGTTCCTTCAGCTCAGATTTCCAACTGCAACGGGTCAGATTAAATACATACACTCATGGTCATAGCAATAGATACAAAATTTAAATTGATATTTGAGGTATTCACACCGGTGTCGTAAGTGTCGTATTGTTAAAAGGGTTTGCAATTCGTTTCATTTTTCCCGAACCGGTTTACTTTTCAGTCTTCGTTTCCACTATTTTCATTTAAAAAATAGTTCGATCCACAACAGAAAATACACAAATAAAAATGTCAGAATCGCACACAGTTTACAAAAATTAATCAAACTTAAAAAAAACTTCATTCGAATTTCAAACTATTTATTAAATTTTAGTGTAATAAAATGCAAGTTTCAAGTCATTGCAAATTACCGTTGTTTTTAATTTTTTTTTTTTTTGTCGAGAGTGTTGCGTTTTTTCCGTATAACGTATGAACAAAACCTAATTTTATATGCAAGAAAATGCGTAACGCCCGCGATAAAAAAAAAAATCTAAAAAAGCTAAACTGCAGACTCAAAAAGTTTTTTTTTTTAATATTATAAATGAATATAAAACTTTTATATTTGGATGAAATTTTTTTGTAGTTTGATTAATTTTTGAAAGCCTTGTGCAAGCTTTGAAACTTTTATTTATGTGTTTCCTTATGTAGATCGAACTATTTTTTAAATTAAATTTATTAAAACCAAATACATAAATATAAATTGCAAACAATATCATTTTGAATTTCATACCTATTTCTATGCCCATGAGTATATGTATCTGTGTGAACATACTTGTGGTCCATTCGCGAAATAAATTCCAACTGCCGAGTTATTACGGGCGACATTAAGAGATGTACCAGCAAAAGTAATACGTGTGCATATTCCGGGAACAAGTATTGATTCGAACTAATGCTATGTTCGTAAAAAAAGTCATCCACGACAAAGGCAATAATTAGGTAAAATGAGAGTATGCAAAGTGCCATAAAACATTTTATGACGTACGGAACTTGAGTGAATATAAAAGCCATGCTCAAGTTTAACACTACAGCTTCTGAGATAGCCTAAATTGAGGATGCCACTTGAAAAATATAAGTTATACATTTCCTTTACGATAGCATAACAACTACAAACCCACGGATCGAAGCAAGTATCATCGAAATCATCCTCGTATTCTTGCATATCGATTACATCATTTTCCCTTTTAAACCGATCGTAATCTAACTGAAAGAAAGCATATTAGAAGCAGAGCGACAGCAAAAATAAAAAAAAAAATGACGTAGAGGTTTGAGAAAGCTTTTTATTGTAATCGCATACGCAGTCTTACTCTTGAGCAAAATAACAACCGTAATTGTAATCGGAACTATAAAGGAAATGGTAATTCGTAAACGTACTCGTACCCGAAAAAGTAACGGTATCCGTTATCTTAATCGTACTCGCATTCTTTTCAACAATTTTTATATACTTAAGACAAAATTGTAACTGCGTTCTCAAACTTCTTATAAATATGAAAACACCATTCAAATAATTTCAAGCTTGCATACCAATTCCTCCAACAAAAAACAGAACTGTATTGCCAATATCGTTAAATACACACAAATGCGGAATTTGTAGTTTCGTTGAATTTTATCCGAAAACTTGAAAAACCAGTAGTGGATTTTTCCTTTGGGCTTTGCTCGAAACATTTTACCGAATAGCCTTGTCCATAGTTTCTTGTACCAGACCAAAGCCAAAATGGCCAGAAAAAAAATATTCCCGAGCAGAACCAAAATCCAAAATAACAGCGTTTGCCTGGCAAAGTGTTTAACTCATTTCGCTTATACTACATTCTACATCTCATATCGAAGACGGCGAGAATTGCACCATACTTACTGATCGGTAACAGCCAGCATTGTTAGCATACAAAGCGTTGTAATGTAAGCGACAAGCACACTATATTTAAGCAAGATATCGGCTTGTTGCATATAGCTGAGCTCCAAGCGCCAGTTTTTGTACCACATGAAAAGCCATGAAAAGTTCGAGTAAAAATTTTTTACTTCCCTCTCAAGCGCGGTGAGGCGTTTTCTCTCGCCAAAGAAGATACTATTGCAGCTGAAAATTAAAAATTTCGTCAACTATTTGCGCGCATACTTAGTAATTGTGAAATCACAAAAGTGTCATTGCCAAAATGAAATAAGTATATGTAAATGCTCTCTCACTGTACAATGAAGCCTTCTATCGGCATCTTAATACTCTCGCGACCCATCTCTCTATCCACCATAGTTTTCATTCTTTCAGTTGAACCTATTTCCTCTGCAGCCTATTTGATGACAGTAAAAATCAAATAACTCAACTATGAAATAGTATCGGCAACTTGCCTCATCATTGCCTCTAGGCCTTGAATACATTGATGAGCGCGACAATTGACTATCAGTTGGTTCCTTTGGAAAGAAAAAATACCTAACTTAATTTAACTATGTACGTTTGTACAGCTAAACATTAAAACAATTTGGCTCTGATACCAACAATCAGGCACTTACCGGAGTTATTAGAAATGTGGTAATTTGATACTTTCGCAGTAACGGATCGAGGCGCGCCCGTTGCGTTCCCGGCTCATATTCAAATCTTTTGTCGAGCTGCTGCAGTGTTTCTCTGCTTATATGCACTCGTCCAGGTACGCCCGTGCTCTCTAACCGATTGGCTATATCTACGTCTTTGGAGTAAATATCAAACTGCCATTTGTTGGCACCTATGACGCCCGATAGGACGCTACCTGAATGTACGCCAATGCGCATATCGATGTCCAGTTGCTTGATATCTCTGCGGTAATTTATTTAGAAATGCTTTGCCCATCAATGCGTTAAATACATATGTATATTCACTGCTATTCACCTCACTTCGCGTATAGACTGAATCATCCGTAGACCAAGTTTTACACAGGCTTTGGCATGTTCTTCATTGGGTATTGAAACATTTGCCACACAATAATAGCAGTCACCTAAAAACTGTATGCGCAACACGTTGAACTCCTGTGGTGGAGAGAGAGAGAGAGAGATCTTTTGAGAGTAAAAATGGAGTAGACGCCACGAATTTGAGCTGCTTACCTGCGCTGCGTCATCGAACCGGACATAGAGATCATTTAGGGTGCCCACAAGCGTGCGAACATCCAAAGTAGTTGTTAGGTGAGTGTAGTTGACAACATCTGCATAGAGTATAGTGACATCGTCATGTGGTTCTATAAACAGTTTTCTAGAATGGAATATGAATTTCAACAGATTTATTAAAAATAATAATAATCGAGATAAGTGGGTGCAACAAAAAGTGCTTCGAGTAATACATCAAGTCGCCAGGACGCCTACAAATTTCAGCCTAACGTATTTACCGCTAATTAACTAACCTCACTTCCTCGCTTATACTCATTGCTTTTCCACGAGTTCTGGCATATTTCATTAAGTCGATGCGCATCTTCACATCCTCCTCCATTTGATGAGCAATTTGTTTTGGAATGATACTCAAGAGCAGGTTTCTCTGAAAGATTTTACGTTTCATTCTTCCCCAAATATTTATACTCGCAAATAAAAAATTCAAAATAAATACAAAAACGTACGTACGTACATACCTCCTGGTCTTTAGCAGCATAAAGCAGAAGTTTCTCCTCTATGCATTGCCGTTTGTCCAGAAATATCATGCGCGTAACTATTTCGCGTGACAGGCGCGCAAACAGGCCCAGTACATTGATGCCCGCCATGAATAGAGCCTCAGATATGGTTTTCGAGTGGTCTGCATTTGCAGAGCCATCACTTTTCCAACGATATACTACGAGTTTAAAAAATAATACGTAACTTAATGATACTAGCAAGGCCATTGTGATGGCGTAAATGTTATTGGCTACGGGCATGAAGACGTATATTGAATATATTATGAAGCTGTAATATATCGGCTTGGTGACGTTGTACCACTGTGCACAAATAAATGGCAGAGACATGTCTGAAAAATCAAAAAATAAATAAAATATTTATATATAAAAGCGCATCAGGCAAGTCCAGGACTCTGATGATATTTTAGTAGTGAAACCTCGGTCGCAGTCTTCCATTGCTTCGCACTCACCCATAGCCAGGAGCAGCGTGATGACCACAGTGGTTGTGACATACGATATCCAAGGATTTACTTTTACTAGATTCGTGCAGAAGTTGAAGGATAAAGTTAGAATAACCAGCATAGGCACTCCGATATACACTGCTATATCATTATATATGAACACTCTTTCCTAGAAAATTGTTTTGCATTTAAATAATCCAACATAAAGAAAAACACAAAAAAAAATGCTGCTTACCGCTGAACTGAGTGTCGTTACCAACAATAAGGAATGTATACAGGTAATAATTAGGAGGATGGCGATAAACGGGTATAATTGATTTATATGCATTCGATTCATAAAAGCTAAGTAGTGGTTTTCGACTCCATAAGAAGCACATTGTTCCTAAGTAAGACAGATATTTACAATTTGTCTCTAAAAATAGCGTGGCACACATATCACTTGCAACATTAATTGTTTACCCTCAATGATTCCAGCTCAAATTTTTTAAGACTCTTTGAACGATCAGTCATTTCTTTGGAGTTGGTTGGAAGGCTGAGGTACGACCAAGCGCTGATTTTCGTGAAGCTATCCTGAAAACTGTATGGAAATTTTCGTTTTTTTAAGGTCTAAAAAGAAATTATTTTTCCCCAATCAGCACTGATATGTTTTCAATTTTTTGTTTGATGGGAATAGAAGAAAAAATGAAAGTTCAAAAGGAAAATGAGTTTACATTTACAGGTAGACTCAGGTGAATTTTTTTAACAAGTTTTAATATATTTGCTGAATTAACTTTACAAAAGGTACACAAAAGTCTTCTTCTCCGGCAAATCGAGCATCTTAGATATGACATCCTTTTCAGCCAAAAATCAACTTCGGGGCAAGAAAAAATTATTTTGTTCAATAAAAAGGGACTACGCGATATGTTCGCGCACATACATATATATGTATGTACACATATTTTCTTTACAAAAAAAAACCTGCACTTCAATATAAATCTTTGAAGTTGGAAAAACGAATCTAAGTAGGATAGGGAAAGCATAACTTTTACTTCACACCTGCTGCGTGATTTGCTTACAACGGCATAGACATTTTTCAAAGCTTTTGTTTGCTCTTGTTTGCAAACGGGTTTTGGTTGCCTTTACTTGGGATCCGCCGAAATTCAATTTTGTCACAAATTCAATTTTCCAATGAAATAAACGCTAGCAACACCAAAAGGCGCCATCCCACCAACAAGAAAAACACCTGTTGTCATTTAATAACAAAAGCGACAGTTACAACAAAAAAAGAGGCAAGCAGACACAATGCTTTGCATAGCAAATAAAAAAAATTGTATGTATGTATGTATGTATGTATGTATGCACTACATACTAACACCTTTTGAGAGGAGCTCAAAATTGGCGCTTTTGTGCTTAAGTGGATGTAAGCCGCACACACACCGACATAAGTATGTGTATACATGTATGGGTAAATGTGTTGGCGGAAATTTCGGTTCAAATCAGTTCGCTGGCTGGCCCCTACCAAATAAGTGCAATCAGTGATCACATACATATGTACATACTCTGTATTCAATTTATACTTGTGTGCATACGCCCGTGAGTACTACGCTGGTACCCCAAAGTGTAATCCCTTTTATGAGCTCCCACGCCACATTCAAGCGTAACCAACAACAAAGCGGCTAACAAAACGCTCAACAAAGCAGCAACTTTCACACATAAATTCCATTGAAGCAAGCCGTCGAACCGTCAAGCAGCAAGCTACGTCCATATACATACATAGTATGTGTATTAGGGTGGTCCAAAAGTGCATGTGAAAAAGAAAAGTCGGAATTTTCATACTCTCACCCCTTTGGAATCAAAAAATATTTAGAGGTCGCTCAAAGCGCCCCAAGATTTCCATGTATTTTACATGAGGAAAAAACAAAGCACTTTTCGTAGAAATGGTATAGTTAAAAGTCAATATTTTTTACCAGAAAACTCTGTTTATCTGCAGGAGACTCCCAATAACAATACCCAATTGTTTATTTAACCATTTTTTCATTGCAACTATAATTTATAGGTCCGCCAGAAACACACAAAAACCCCGAAAAATGCAATGGGGCGACCAATAAAAAATCATTAGAATTAAAAAATGGTTAAATAAATAATTGGGTATTATTATTGAAAGTCTCCTGAAGAGAATCAGAGTTTTCCGATCGTAAAATATTGATTTTCAAGAATTCTATACCATTTCTACGAAAAAATGCATTTTTCCCATATACAAATGCATGGAAAACTTTAAGCGCTTTGAGCGGTATATTTCTTTTTCGATATAGAACAATCCTAGGGGTGACAGCATTACAATTCCGACTTTACTGTTTTTGGACCACCCTAATGTGTATACATAGTTTTGTATGTATTAAAAAAGGTAGGCAGACTCGTTGTGACATTTTACCGTTAAGTGCTTCATGGCAGTTTGCTGCAGAGATATTGAGCGGGTGAATAGATGGCATGGCGGATGGATGTTTGTATGTATGTACGAGCGCTCGGATACGAGAAGGGCTTATCTTTTAATCGATTTTAAAGTGACACAAAAGTGAGTTGGCAGGATTTTACTTAAACGCCATTTTGTTTGCTTTGATGTATGCAAACTGTCAGCCTGATGTTTCTGATTTACTGCAGATTAACTGTGGCATATATTTGCCGATGTATATCGATATGCTTCTAGGTACATACATACATATATTTGACTATATTACACTTGATTTAGTTTCACACAGAAGGCAGCCTAACATGATTTTTTCAAGCAGTCTTTTTGGTTTTCCTATGGAAGCGATTTTAAGTTATTTTCAAAAGACATGTGTTGAAATTTTATGCAAAATTTGTTTAAATGAATGTATTTAATTCAAATCAAGCATTTTGAAACGCGTTTACATTCCTTTAGCTGTTGCTGCCTCTCTCTCTGCCTCTCTTTTTCGTACTAGTTCTAAATTCGACAGACGAGATCCAGTGAGCTCTGCATCCTCTTACTATTGCTAGAAATAAAATACATAGATAGTTCGATCTTTTAGAAAATTTTTCTTCATTCTTGCATCAAAATATAATTTTTGATAAAAACTAGACTTAGCAGCAATTTTCTATTTTAGTTAGTCATATGTATTTTTAAAAAATAAACTAAAATAGTTTTTTAAAAGTACCACATTTCGCTGCTTTTGAACTCTTGGAGATCTACATAGTTACTATCGGACTCGTTCGATTTTGGCGATAAAGACCTAGTACGGAACTAGAAATTTGGTTCACTAGTTCGAGGTTTCCCTGCAGGGTACCTACACTTGCAACAACATTCAAACGCTCATCCAGCTATACAAGATACAAAGCCTACACAAAATACCGAATACCCATACTATTACATTCGGTACGTGTAAAGTATTCAAAACATTCAATTTATTGGATATAATTTTTTGGAGTTAAGTGGAAAATTAATTAAAGTCGGATATTCTCTGAAACTTTACAACAGTTTGATGTAATATTTTCATAAAAATTTTCTATTTATAAAGCAGTTAAAGTCTTCTTTATTTTTTATGAATTTGGGTGTACATTTTTAACTCTATCATTGCCTTAAGGTCAAATGGTTGTAATTGGCTTCTGAAAAGCATTAAATCCGCAAACGGCTTCTTACTTTTGTCAGCTAGTTATGCACACTAATACATATGTACATATGTATGTATGTATTTAAGAACATAAGGTTTAATTTCCTTTTAAACACTCACACCTTTCGCTAATATTTAGTAGATTTGCCAGTGCACTTGTCTAGTTATGTTCATATGTACATATAAGTGTGTGTACACGCTTACAATCAGTACTTAACCACTCATAAATTAATCCTGACAACGGGAATTTATGTTCAAATAAAACTAATTGCTAACGTCAGTACGAAAAGTTTTACTTGCGGCTAAAGTACGCTCAAAGAAACTTTTCGCCGACAAAGGCAACAACAGCACCAACGCATTAATTGTGTATGTATGCATGTACCCTGCAGGAAAAGTTACTAGTTGAGAACTAGAATGATACCAGCTATCTTTTCACCACAAATAGTTCGCTTCCGCATTTTTTTTTTATGCAAGAAAATAGTTACTGTGCAAAATCCTACGAAATGTCAATTGTCCGGCTATGCGTTAGCATCTACCAGTATAAATTGTAACAGTTTACTAGAGAAAGTTGTGAGAAAACCAATTGATATGCCATTGGGTTTTACTTATTTATTTATTTATTTATTTAGTTTTGGCTTTTGCAATTCAAGGGCAGATTTCTCTGATCGCATAAGTTGTTCGATATTGGTGAACTGATAGGCAACCGCTTTAGGTCATACCAGTTCATAAACTGTTACTTTTACTGGCTGGTTTAACTTTTCACTGCAGGGTATGTATGTAGAGTAGCCAAACGGCGAGCTGCCAGACTCGGTTCAAATATATTTTAGTTCTGACTTATACAAATTAGTACAAACGTACATAGTTTCAGAGAATGCACATATTTGTGCTTGCAAATACATAAGTAGATGTTAATATAGGTATCTGTCTTCCTACATTTCAATTGCAAGCCATTTGGCAGAGGTGTTTGGAAGCAAAAGAGACAGGAGTTGAGCATTTGCTAGCAGAACTACCGTTTGATAAGCATACTCACATATTTGCATGTTCAATATTAGTTTGAATTAGTATAAGTCTAAGGTACTTGTCATTCTTAAGAACTGATTGGCCAACGTGCTTTCTTCAGATTTTAAAAATAATTGAAGAGCCAGAAAGCCCGAAGCCCATGCCATGTCAAAACAAATGAACTAATGGCTCCTCGAAATGATTTATGTGCCACTTAACCTAAATAAAATACACAAAACTATGCAATACAGTATACTTATATATAACGGTTTTCACTTTCAATTTTTCCAAACTTTCTTTTTTGCCATATAGCTTAAACGAGAATTGCCACTTTAAAATAAATAAAGCTTTTTATCCAAATTTAAGCTATTCTCAAGCGTGTATTTATTATTACATATGTATGTACATATAACCTACTTGCTACCTACAATTACTTCCCATTTGAATGGCGCATTTGTAAAAAGAATTCCCAAATAAGCATAGAAGATTTGGCCTAGCGCAGAATATGGGACGAGTAAGGATGTTATTGATTTTGGGACGAACGATTTTGACTATGACAGAAAATATACTTTAATAGAACAAACAATAATTCAACCAAAAGATATTCTCCCGCTACCATTTCATAGTCGCCGAAAACCCTAGACTGAACCCTTCGCGAGGGTGCCGTACTGCAGAGTGGTGAGCCTGTGTGTCTTTGGAGCGGTACGCAGCTAAAATCGAGCAAAAGTTTTATTTGTTAAGTATGGCCTAAGTTTTTTGTCGGATGGATCAAAGAGTAAAGCGTTTCTGGATGAATTTCGGTCAAGCTGTAGGCCCTAAAATAGCTCAGTCGCTTAGAAAAGCCCGCTTGAAACCTGGTCGGGTTGGGCTGTATTCATGGACTTAACCGGCTACAGGGGAAGGGGGTCAGGGTATGCAGATTAAAGCCATGGCAGCCGTCGAACACGATGCCTACACCTACACCATCTGCTTTAACAAGCTTGGACAAACAGCGTGAAATACGAGGGAGGTGGAGAGGAGAACAAGCAAATATCGACGGCTGAGTGGAAGATCGCAGCTGAAGATACATTTAAAATGTGCTGAGATAGGGCGACTTTGAACCGAATTCAGAGATAGGGCGTTCAACCAAACCAAATTCTGAGCTAGGGCGGTCTTACTTATGTATATAGGGCACTTTCGAACTGCTTACCGAGATAGGTCGATTTTCCACTCAGACATTGATATGCGAGCATCGCTGCTAAGATGCTGCTGGGCAACCCTAGGCAGCCGCCATCCTGCGTGGGAGCGTGGGCTAGTACCAAAGTGATTTCAAGATCGTTGGTTGTGATCAATAGAGGTTTGAGACACTTCACATGGCAACCGTCGGCCGTTTGCCGAAGTCTACCCTTTTGCGAAGCTGAAGGCAATTGACTTCGACGATATTTCGATGAGGATAAGAAGGAGAGTCTGCCTGCCGGCGAAACCAGAGGAACTACCCGTCTTAAATTACAGAGCACTAAAATTGCGGCCGAGTAAATAGTCCACAGACAGGCTGCACTGACGATGATTAAGGAGTCTTCGTCGACCCTGGAAAGGACAGACGCCATCATTAAATACGAGTTCAACAAAATTGGGGTCAAAGTGTACGGCAATGACCTGTTATCTCACAGGTGAACACGGTATATGATTGTGTGAACATGATTCGAAGTGAACCCTTTCGCTTGGTGAATATTCAACATACGATAGGTGAGCTGCAAAAGCGAAATGTGGACGTGTTTACATGGAATGAAAATTCATGATAAAGCTGATTAAAAGTTTTTCGCAAACTAGGTTTCTATGAAAAGAAAGTCTCAGTTTATTATTAATTTAAAAGTCACATGTTTAACAAAATAAATTTTTTCAAAAGCATTAATTTTTAAAAAGTCCTGTCTATCACATCCATTTGTTTAATAAGTAAATTTTGTTAAATTTCTACTCCTTTTTATCTTTGAACGGGCTGTAATAAGGAGTCTTGGGACTACGTTTATCACTTTCACAAGGGTCTTCTTCTTTGCACTCATCACACGCCTCCTCTTCCTGCTTTATATTCTCCTCCTCGCTTCTGAAGGGATTGTAATAGGGTGTGCGTGCACATGTGTCGCCCCTCTTACCTTCACTGACTTTAGAAGGCACATCCTGTTTTCCGTCTTTACTTTCACATTCAACAATCTTCGGTTTCTTTGACTTGGCGCAAGGTTGTGACAGTTTATTGTCTTTTGGCGCCCCCGACTTTGCTTCGGTATTGGCGCCTGCACCTAATTTAAGTTGGCATGGATCTAAAAAGACACACGGGTCTTTCCTTTCGTCCTTATAAGGTCCCTTCGACGTTACAGTACACGGATCAATGTCTGCAGCAAGTGGCTCTTTCTGCTTCTCTTTCTTTACCATATCACATGCATCCGCTTTTTTTTGTTGTTCAACTTTATTTCCTTTCGATTTCAACGCAACCTTCTCTGTTGGTTTTGAAGAAGCGGAAGGTGATGCCTGCACTGACGTCAGAGGAAGCATCTCTACTTCAACTTTCTTGCTATCCTTTTCGATTAGGTTGCATGGGTTCAATTTCCTTTTAACTTCTTCAGGTGCCGACTCGCCTACGTTGTCAGTGCTGGGCTTACATTCCTGTGGCGCTTTCGTGGCTTTCACTTCAACTGGCTGCGTCTGTATTGGCTGGGGCTCTGCAGAATCGGCTATCACCATAGGTTTTTGTGCTTTTGCGTCGCCAGCGTTGAACACAAATTCTTCCGTTTTACCTTTGAAATCACTCGGTTTAACTGGATGACTTCCATCGTCGTCGTCTGGTTTTTTTATTCCTACCGGTCCGGGTATCTGCTCATCGGGGTCATGTGGCCAAAAGAGCGGTTTGCGCCTGTGCGGTATATAATCGGCATGCTCCGGTCGCAGGCTAATATACTCCTCCATTGTCATCGATGAGTAGGGTTTCATGAGGGAAAGGCGCTCCATTTCGGCCTCATACGCCTTGATGCGTTCATTCGATTCGGCGATGTACTGATTAACTTCCGCCTACATAAGTTGTGGAGTTTTTAGTGAACAGATATTATAAAAATAAAACTCTACGAGCGCACCTGCATGACCGCCCGCTGCTTTTCCAGCTCTCCAAAGTACTTCCTTGTATCCAGTTTAACGCGGTCATCGAATATTTTGTTCAACTCTTCGTATTTTTTCTCGAATTCATCCACCATTTTGATTGCTTCTATGCGTACGTTCGTGCGATAATAATCCCAATCGATTGTCGGCAAATTCGCTGGATATTTATTTACGCGGCTATTCATTTTAAAATTCTATGGCTTAGCGTCGTTTTTGGTTCTTGGTCAAGGGCGGGTTAAACTTACTCGTTATATTTCGCATGTAGCTCCAGAAAGTTCCTAAACTGAGATAACTGGTTCTTGGGCACACGCTTTGCCAATTCACTTAGTACTCCCTTAACGGTATTGCTACCGGCCATTCGCAAAATCCAATAAAAAATAGAAATAAAGTACTACCAAAATTAGATGTTGTAAAAGGCAATGGATTCGCAGGGTTTACGAAAATAAATTTAATTTGTAAATATTTTTGGTTTAATTTATAAAATAATTGTTAAATTTTTGAAAACTTTCGTTCATTAACTGAATCACGGCCTCCTTTTTGATTTTTACATATTGGTAAGATGGCGACATCGTACAAGGGTTAAGGAGAGTGTGCGACGAAAGCAGCAAGCGGTCTTGCAACAAGAATGAACAGCTCCAGCAAGAATCGAATTCTAATTTCGCAAGGCTGATGAGAAATTCGTATGTGGAATAGTTAAACAAATCCAACTACTCGCAAACACAGAGCTTTATTAGTATTTTAAATAAACGTTTTTTTTTTTTAGTTTGTGGGTTGAACTAGCGTTTTAATAAAAAAATATACATATATAAAAGCTTTTACACATATGGAAAAAGAACTTAAAAAATATATTAATAAAATGTAGTATTTGAAAAAACAAAATCTGCCAGCCTAATAATCCTTTTAGTTACCAGATGCATTTACTACCTCTTGTAGCTGTGGACTTTTAATTACCTCCTCGTTTGATTTTACAGCTAACATCAAAGCATTGGGTATGTCCGCTTCGGGTGTTCGCAGTGCCACTGCGTTATTAAGCTTTAACCGATTACTTGCTAACTGCAAATTCCTTTTGTTTTTTAGATTAAGTGTTGCACCAGCCACATAGCTACATTGATCTGCTTGTATTGGAAAGCTATTCGTTGCCCTTCCTGTAAAGCATTGCTCGTATTCGAATGTGGTATCCCGATTATACTGCGACAGAATATCTTCGGCTCGTCTTTCCGGATTAAACTGTGCGTCGCTCGCCGTTTCTCGAATTTTACCTTTCTCCATCATTGATACTGTATCTGTGCTAAGAAACTGTTGATTCGGTTGAAGTTTTGCCTTGGTTGACTCTTCATTTTGAAACATATCCTGTATTTGTTTTCTAGAGTCAGCCAATAATTGCAAAACATTTCTCTAAAAGTTAATAGAAAGTTGAGATTTTTTGTTTTTGAATGTTTAGAAGGTTTCTAAAACAGGCACAACCTTTGCTCGCCTCAGCGAACGTCTTCCTGTCGCTGGCATCTCGAATAATCGTCCCATTGTTTTCTGTATTTGTCTGCGACAGTAACTCCAGCCAACGTATTGCCAGAGACCAGAAACCTTTTGAATTCTTGGAACATTCGCAAGGAAGTAGTTTTGGAGTTACTAAGTTTTCTGACACAAAAATCGCTTACCTTCTATTATTTTCCGTATCTCGCTTGCCTATTGTTCTTGTCTGTTGCTGCAACTTGCTCGTCCTAAAGCGCTTGAAAAAATCAACAAAATGCGCTTTCTGAAAATATTTACCGGCCATTGGAAACCTAAATGTAGCAGAAAAATATTGCTTTGTATGGGATTAGTAAAAATATATTTCTATTTTTATAAATATTTATTGGCAGTTTTGATTTGAAAGTACAGCCTTTTGAAAATGAAGGCTTTGAAGATTTTTTCCACCTGAAAAGTGGTAAGATTTTATGCTTCAGCAATTGTGAATGGCCACTGTGACTGAGTGACACGTACTACTACTCCGTAGCGCCTGGGTTAGATCCCTCGTCCGAGCAACACCTAAATTAGAGAAAGTTTTTTCTAACGGCGGTCGTCCCTCAGCAAAGTCAAAGAAACAAAAATTGTTTCAACTGTATGTCGCCAGATCATCAAGTCCCAAATGGGGCCCAAATGCTCTCAGCGAGAGAGCATAACATCATGCTCACCAAGCAGTTCGTAGTATCGTGCTACAGACGTGATCACCTGACCAGACAGTCTTTTGATACGAAGCGTCCAATTAGGCTCATCAGCAGGCATCTTCGTGAGGTGAAGGACGAGGTCCAGCACTACGTCCAACTACCGCCGGACCCGGGACTTTACAAAGACAGGCTATTAACGGCATTCACACAGATTCCCGTCCTGTGACAGCCGTCATCAGTGTCAAATTACCACCTAGGGACGAGAGTGATGCACGAACGACGTTCTTCAACATCAGGTTTATCTGGGACCACGCCCAAGAACGTCAAAAGATCGCCTTTGGATCGTACTTAGTATAAGTACTATCCCCACTACGACGTAAAAATTGTGCATTGCGACTTGAGCGCGAGGACCATCAGGGAAGGTATTGTTCCTCCTAAAGTCGGTATACATATGTATGCGCTAAAGACCAAAATAGCCTGTGGTATCACCTTTCAGCACAAATAAAGGAATAACCGGATCGATAAACGGAAAACTGAACAGATCGTTTTGTTGTGGATAGTTGTTGAAAAGTCGCAATGGAAGCAGATTCGCCACTCAGCTCTCTGCGAGCAAAAGTCATTACCGAGAATTGAAAAGAGCAGGTACGTCCTGCTCGCACCTAAATAACGGAAAATTGTTCTGCAAAGTTTGGTTACTAACGGAAGGATACAAGACCGAAGCGATGTGGCGAGATTCAAATGTAAATATTGGCAAATCTAATTCACACACATATATTCAGTGGTCCAGCAGGTCGGTGTAATCGGACATTCACTTTTTCTAATTGGACGCTTAGTAATTACTCGACTCCGGCGCCACTGACTCTTTTTTTAATTACCTAGTGTATTGCCCTTATCGCTACCAATACAAATCTCGTATGTGACCAAATCGGAGCACAAATAAGATTTTCAGTAATAGCTCGACTCCAGCGCACAGTGGTTCAAAACTGGAATTTAGTGTTCTCAGTTCACTGGAGCCTTTATTTTTCACTCAATATGAATAATTTTTTTTATGAAAGCTAATAAAATTTTCAAGAGAACGGTTTAGTCAGATTTTTGTAGTTTTGTTTGTTTGTATTAAATTTTTTAGTGCAAAGTGCAGAAAAAGTTACAATTTTGAAGAAAATAGATTCTCCTGTTGCAGTTAATAAATGTTACATAACAAAAACTAGCTCAAAACAATTGTAGGATCCTACCGAAATGAAAAAATTTCACAAAAAGAATTCGAATTGTAAAAAAAATCACCAAATTAAAAAAAAAAATTGAGTTACTAGAAAAATTTGTGTTATGTAGTTTTATAAATCATTAAATTTTAGTTTAATAAAGTGGAATTTGTAAGTGACTAACAGCCAATTTCCCGAAAGCAATTTAAATGAAATATAATTCTAGTTTTTGGAATTTCATATGAAAATTAACAGAAAATAAAAAAACTAGCACCAACAAACAAAAATTCAAATATCGGAATCAGAATGAATCAAATTGAGCGGAAAATTAAGGCTCCAATGAATTGTGAACGCAAAATGCCAATATTGAACCACTGTGCAGCGGCACTTGTCGGATAAAATTATGAACCTAAACTATCCAGAGACCCACGAGTACAGGCGCTTCTCCCCTTTAAAGTAAACCGTTTATTTCTCAGCATTTTAGTTTATCAGATCGGCATTTTAGTATTTCGAATCAATTTGAATTCCTGGTTACCCCCTTTCCACTCTATCAAAACTAATCGCTATTCGTTTTCGCTTAGTTAGTTGCAGTGATTGCAAAAAGCACTTAACGGAATTGTTACAAACAGATGGGTAATAAAAATACTTTATTGCCAACGCATGCATATTCATGATTTCAACCTCATTCAACGTTCTCGCCCACTTCCCATGCAGCCTGCAATGCACTTGACAGAAGTCAACAATGGAACTCATTGAATTTTACACCTCGAATTGGTGGCAAAAAATCAAATCGAAGATTTGTAATTAAAATCATCTGCATTGTATCAAATTCCAGCGCAATAAAATGACAATAAACGTAAACCATGCGCAAGAACTACAAAGCGAACGGACAGCAAAAAAAAGAGTATTTGAATTATCAAGTGTGCGGTGGTGGCAGCCTTCCTGAGTTACAGTTAGAAACAACGGAGGTTGAGTGAGAGCACAGGTAATAAGGTTGCTTGATTTTTTTTTCAACCCTTTGTAGGGCAGTAAAAATATGTATGTAAGGTGAGCAAGGCGAGAATGAAACAGGGAACAGGTTTAAAGTGAGACTGGCATAAAAACTACCCCAGCGCATGCGTCGCAAACGTCAGATGCAAATGCCAGTTGGAAGAGCGCCGGTGGTATATCAAACTTGAGTGGCAACTTCGAAATATGCGAAACACAACAAAACGGCTGAGTTGGAAGACAGGAGCAGCTGTGGTCTGAGTTATGTTGTTTTCTTTTGCGAAATCATAAATAAGCAACCCCTAGCAGCTTGGAGTTTCTCTGCAAATACTATTTTGACAGTTCGCTCACTCTCACACTGAGCTATACGCTCTGGTTCAACCTTTTAGAAATTGGAATCGAAACAAATGTTGAATTTTGCAGCAACAAACTTGTGCGGTAGTGAAAAAATTTCTCATGGATTTTTTTGCAAAATTTTGAATTTTTCTATGAAAACCAGCACACTTTTCAGCGTGGAGTGGAAAAACTTAAATTTAAATAATATGGCAGTGCACTGGTGTTAATAAATTGCGTGAAAAGGGACAATTTTAGTGAAAATTTGCACAAAGAATTTTGTGAAGTGCAGTCATCTGTGCGTGTGTGTCCAGTTTGAGAATCATTTGGTGCAAACAAAAGGACTCAGCTACTACTTCTGGTAAAGATTATTTGTATTTATATCTTTCTTTTTAATCACATTGCATAGGTTGAATTACAAGAAAATAGCAGAGTTAAGCTAAAATTAAAAAGAACGGAAGTATGTAAGTAAGTTTTTATTTTATCAGATGAAAAGCAAGTGCGTAACAAACACTGTGTATTTATCGTGATTTTGCATGTACACACACAGATTTGGTTATGTACGCATATATGTATATTTGCCCAAATATATGTATGTAGCGAGGTATTCACGCCTTATAGAGTATGTCACCTCTGTTGTGCCATTCATTTCATAGCCTTAAGTTTAGTTAGAAACAAATCTGATTTCCACTTTATGTAATGCTGCTCTTTTGCCGTTTTGTAGTAAGGTGTGTTTACGTTTGTTTGTACCCTCACGGCATTGCCAACAGGAAATCTCAAAAATCACATAGGAATTAGGACTATCAGAATTTGAACTCTTGCAACTGATTAGAAAGCTTACGTGTTTGTAGAAATATAAACAGCTGCTAGCAAAGCAGATTTGCTTTAAATGATGAGCTCGTTGATGGGTATTTTCGTAGTTAAAAATATGTATGTACTACGGTGGGTAAAAAAAAATCAAGTATTTTTTTTTTTGGCTCCAACACACGAAAACCCAAATCTGAGCTCTTAATATTAACGGGAATATTATGCTGGTCTTCGTTTTTTGTCATGCATTACAAGTAAATCTTCAAATTCCACAAATAAAAAATATTCATTTATAAATTTTGTGGAAAAAAGAAACTTGAATGACATTTTTAATAAACCCGTTGAAAAATATCAAATTACGATCCTAAATTGTGATAAAAGTTATGAAAAGAAAATATCGTTAAAAAATTTATTCGAAAGAAATATATTCTCAATCAAAAGATAAGACTTAACTTGCAAACTGAAATAAGCTTAAATTCTCATGAATATTGTCAAAATTCATAAATTTAATGGATAAATTGAAAATATTTATTGAAAAACTATTAAAATCAGGCATTGGGATTCTACTGCGAATATCTTCTAAATGGTTGGAGTAATCGAGTAACTGCATGAGATCTTTTTTGTAGAGCATTAAATTTCATATAGTATAAATTGAAACATATTTGACAATAATTATTTTTTAGTAAGTTACAAAATTCATAACACAAAAAGTTATTTTCTTTAAAATACTTCAATCTTTGACCTTTAATATCTTATTATGGTTAGATTAATTTCAGATTTAAAAAAACATAAAGAGGCTATGCACAGTTCAAAATTGTTGCAAGACGCCGCTAGTTGCAATTTTACTCATTCTCCTCTTGTCACCTTTTCATTGCTTTCTACGCATACTGAAAAGTGAAAAAGCCGTAACTAACAAACGTTAGTTTTGCATAAAACAATTTAAACAATCAAAAGTGAATTTTGGAATGATTTGTTAATCTTCTGAATATCAGGTGACGATATGTACATATATTTCGAGAGCCTACATTCGATACCCTCTATATGAACTTTTCACAAAAATGCGATTCTGATATAAAAATCCACCTAAGCCTTAACTGTCTTCTGAGCCTTTTTGTCCTAGAGTGAAGGTAAATGCTCCGGCTTAAAGAACGATTGCTATCCATCGACATGTAGTAGCGTCAACTCCTCTGTACTCTACGTGGCAGTAAATAAGTAAGAACCAATCGCCGCTTTCTCACTTCGACTAACTACTATTTGACTGTTCGTTATTTTGTTTATCGAGCAACTCGTTTAGTATAATCGCCTCTACCCCACTCGCCCTAACTTCTCTCTTCGACTTCTTATTTACACCACTACTCCCGCAATCGCGTATCCCTTTTGAATGCCTAATAGCACAGTCAACTGTTTCTCACAAGTGATTTTATGCTAATATTATGGGTCATTGGGATTTGCAAACATTTAAGTGCTTGTTAAACATTTCATTAGTGTTGGTGTGTAAATACCCGCGGATAACGTTTTATGTGCTATAGTCTCAGCTAAAATGTACATAACTACTACACATTTACAGACTTACATATGTACATATTCATATATAAATACTTGCACAAATACCTTATAGCACGAAGCACGCCACGCAATTTGCAGCTAACTCCTTCGAGTGGATTGTTTTTTTTTCGGCTTGCACAAACTAAAGCTCAGTGCTAGGGTGAAAATCGACTATAGGCAAATGAACGGCTGGAAATGCAAGTTGTAAATTTACAAAAGGTGTTTAACTTAACTTATTTCGTACTTAATATTTTATGTACTATATATGTATAGATACTAGGTGTTCGCAGTCAAGTGGAGTGGTTTGCTGAATAGGTGATTTAGTAATTTGAGTACTTTGTTTAACTGAGTTTTGAATGCCTCGATTGGCTTATCTTAAAGTTTTTAGTTCGTTCTGTGTTATTTTAGAATTCAGTGCAGTAGTGTGCTTACTATTTTATTTTTTGTTCAATACAATAGCTTTAGTAACTCATTTGAATATAATCACCTTAAGATTTAAGTTAAATTATCGATTGCGCTCTATCTACAAAATAATTCAACAATCGAGTCCAATAAAGTACGCCACACAGTGGACTGAATAGAGAATCCAGCTGAACGAAATACTTAAAATGAGAGTGTTCAAATTGGCACTAAGACTGAATATAATTTTTTAGAAATGTCTAGTAAGAAGGCTCCGCCATTCTAGGATTTATATGAATGTCTAATTTACGCCATATATACCTGCAAGCGCTACGGTACTGAACGTACCAGCGATTATTTAAAATTTCAGAGTTCGCCAAACATTTTTAAACATTTGTTTTCTAAATAGTAGTTAAAATTGTGACATCTTAAAAGCTATTGATTCTTCTTTTATAATAGTAAAACTAAAGGCTCGAATGAGGCAGTAGAATGTCTTATTAATATTTTAAAAGAGAAAATGGGCAACCAGTGGACTACAGATGAATCGCTTGAAGCCGAGTTAAAAAAAAAACAAAGTTTCTACATTCTGCATCCATTTATCGTTCCAGTCCGATTCAGTTGAATCTGGTTCAAGGACACCGTGTGGAGTGAGGTCCAATTTTTTATCCAATCAAGAAAAATTGCTGGACCAAATTCTCGCTTTATCTATTACTTCTGATAAATTAAATGTTGCTTAATACTATATTATTATCGGCGTTGTTTCCGATTTCTAAATATAGCGAAACGAACGGTATTAATGAGGTACAAACAAACTCCCCACCGTCCATCGATGCTTTCGTATCTTCAAAAATTAACCGAAATTAAAATACAGTTGCAATATGTAAAAGTCTAACATTTAGGGAGGAATAAGCCCTTAAATTTAATTCAAATAAAATGATCAACTTTAAAACGACTTCATATCCCCTGACTGCCTGGGTATGCTGACGCTACGATTTTAATAACATCCAAGCGACTAGCACATGTGCCACTGACATGATTTGCGAAAACAGTCATAAAAAATTTGTCAAAAAGTCTGTGCCAAACAAGTATTTAAAAAAGAAAGAAAAACACTAGAAACAAAAAAAAAGAGAATGTCAAAGGCGCAGTTCCCCTGTTTTAAATGTAAGCATACCAAGACGAAAGCGAACCCTACACACACATACATACATAGGTAAAAGCATATTTAAAAACAACAAACTGTCACTTGCTGCTTATGGATGATGAACTGCCTTACGCCCCACCACCGACAGTCGCGCTCCTTTTTAACAGCTGCTGCAAATAAGAAATTTAATGAGAAAAAGCAATTTTGCTTTGATGTTCAACAGTTGGTCGGGGGAGTGGCGCAAGTCGATGGCGCTTGGTGCGAAAAGTTCGTTGTCCTATTGAAATATGAATTTATGAGTATGTGCCTCATAAACACATGTCAACAGTTGCTGCGCTTAAATCGTGCACATTCTTTTATATACACATGCGAAAGCATTAATATGTACATAAATACATATGACATTGGTAAGTAAACCAGTCTAAGTCGAGGAATCGTCTTTTAGCAGCCAAATTCAATTTTTTTATACAATTTTCACAAATGTTGAACAGCTTGACGGGCGTCTAAGCTGTTGCATATTTTCAGGCGACTAGCATCAGTTTCACACACAACAAAAAAACTAGCATAAACTCATGAATGCCTTAACATCTGGACTTTTGCTTGCTGAGATTTTTCTGACATTGATTGAATGAGTAATAATTGAAACAAATGCATTTTTGATAGGAGAGCGTTGTATCCTAAAAGAATGAGAAAAACTGCATTACTTTCCTTATTGGAGTGTACTTTAAAATCCAGTATAAATTGTGTATATAAAACGCAACAAATCTATGATTCACACATACCGGTTGATAAGAATTTACCAAATTGTTGGATAAATTAAGTAAAGCTCAAGTTGATGTATGCTGTGTAGTTACTTCCTGAAGTGGTTAAAGGCACTTTCTAAAGACAATTCACTTTCGAATAAATAAAATATTTTATTTTTTACTTTGTCCACGAAAATAAAAGAAAACTTATTAAATGTTTACTTAATTATCTTATTAAAAAAAAAGAACTTGCTCTTATTTCTCTGCCGGTTTTAATGATATAACCTTTCTGTTTGCGTCCCTTGCTTTCTTCTATTCATATCACCGCAAGGTTAATTCGTCAATTTTTCATCAATTTCATTTGCAATTTACCCCTCATTTTCACATCAGAAGTATCCGCATAAAAAATGTTTCCAATTATTCATTATGAATGGTTTATAAATGAAAGAATATTCTAGCCCCTTCTCCTGTCACAGCAAGATCTGTCATCGTTCAAGCAGCGCAACCACCACAGCCATCAACAACAACAATTGTATCAAAATAAGTGCGTTTTTTCTTGCTTCCAATCGGCTAGCGATGCTCTCCAGCTGTGCCCACGTCGAAAAGCTGTCAATTTGCAAACCGTTTGATGGATGCGCTTGACATGTTTCTGGTGATATTGTCATCAAAATGAGCGTCCAACAATGATTAAGAATGCCTTCATTTACTCGTAGGTGAAAAGAGAGG